TTATTTGTATAATCTTTGTATAGAAGCTTAATTAAATTTCTATTTTTTTTTACTAAACCAACTAGAATACTTATCCTCGCATGAATAATTTTTAAAGTAACACAAGATGAATAAACTGCCTGAAATAAAGTGCATATATGTGATGTAATATAAACCAGAGATGTGTAGCAGTGCTGCAATCTTCCTCAGAGGAAGAGGGGGGGTGAAAACCAAAACAAAATCCATTAAGTGTACTTAAAAATATCAAAAGTCAATTTTTTATATTTTTGCTACTTATTTTTTATATACTCTTAAGTCCTCCTTAGCCTTTTTTTGGTAATTGAATCAAAATATTTATTGTTCAGATTAGTATAAAAAACAATAAACCAATAGTCAAACATTCAATTTTATATAGCACGAAGTCTTAAAGAAACATTAGGGTGACTCCTGTATTTTAATGTAATTTCAGAACAGCAAAAAGAATTTAGAAAGTCATTTAAATACGCATCATTGAGAGGGGGAAATTGTTGTGTCTGCCGGAAAACGTGGAAAATGGTGAAAAAAGTGACGGTCAAGAATATCACCAAAATGTATTGAAAAAAACACTTCGGGGACGAGAATATGCTCATAGCATGTTACTCATATCTATAAAATATGTTATAAAATTTAGAGTGATGCAATCAGAAGTGCGGATTTGTATGAAGGACATACTAAGTTTCAAATTTATGTGTTAGATGTACTAAGTGTTTGTTGTTGTTGTCGCTTTATGTTGCCTTTCTTTTATTTTGATATGAAACTTTTTTTTGTTCAATATTTCTTTAATTTGGAAATTCTATAAATTTATTAGCTCAGACTACCTACCTTACAAAATGCAAGTATGATCGAAACTCAAGGAGCCAGAAGTTCTTATTGTCTTGCTTGAAATAGTATGGAAACGTTTTAAAATGGCATAAAATGAATGACTTTATTTGTGAACACTGGGATTCGGATAGTATATACCAGAAAAAAATTATCAAATAAGAATTTTTTAAAAGACCGAATCAGCTTTGATTCGATTCCTGAAACAAAATACTATGTAGTGAAATTGTGAAATATATATGGAAAATAACATTTTAATAAGAATAATAATAAAGATTTTTTACTGAAAAAAAGGAATATATATATATATATATATATATATATATAAGAGTTTATGCCATTCTTCCTTTTAAATGTCCCGAATTTAATATGGTTTCTTTTTTAAGGCATTTTGGTTATATCGCAAGCGTAAATTATGCAAAAATAACTAAGAAAAAATATGTTCAACATTTTAAATCAATTCATGTAAACAAAAGGCATTTGTCAGTATAAATCTAATATAACTCTAAATTTATAAAAGCTCTTGTTTTAAGATGTTATATTTTAGTGAGTTATATTTTTTTCTATTTGTTAGAACATTTTATACCCATAATATACCAGAATTTCTGAAGATTAAATAACAAAATGATGAATTATCTTCAATTTAAAAATTGTTTAATTTTATTTATTTACAAAGCATATTAAAACATATAATAAAATACACTCTATGACAAAAAAAAATGATGCATCAAAAAGGAGTTGTCTGATGGAGACAAAAATTGACGGATAGGAAAATTATGTACAGAACAGAAAAATTAAAATTTCAAAAAAAGTGAATGAATTATTTCAGAGTTACATAGTTAAAAAGTAACGAGATCAATAAGGTGTTGATCCATCTGTAGCCTGGATGCAAGCAGCCACACAACGAGGTATAGAGTGATAAAGCTCCCTGATGGTCTCCTGCGGTATTTCTTGCCCAATTTGCTAGAATTGTCGGTTTAGGTCATCAACTTTCTCTGGGAGATGCAGTTGCATTCCCATCATACCCCAGACATGCTCGACTGTAGAGATCTGGGGATCTGGCTGGCCAAGGAAGTGTTTGACAAATTGTAAGACAGTTCATAGCAACACGTGCCGTATGTAGTCTGGCATTATCTTGCTGAAAAATAAGGCCAGGGTACTGCAAAAGGAAAGGTAGCAAAACAGATCTCAGAACTTCTTCGATCAAGGGAAATGGTACTCCATACCATAACTCCTGATTGAGGACTTGTGTGACGTGCAAAAGTGAAAGCAGGATCGACATGTTTTCCTAGGCGACATGTTCACCTCCGATTCACGGGGATTCTTCGGATCTCCCATTTTTTTTCATAGTCCAAACCTAACCTCGGGGACTCTGCAGCACAAGAGATCTGGGATCGGAACAAGGGATCTGAACATAGGACTTTGAATTTTTTCAGACTCGATAGACAGACTTCAGTGGATACGGGGGGAGAAAACACCGATTTTGACAGCTCGTCCCGGGACTTTGAAAATTTCCTGCGAAGAGGAATTGCAAGTCGGGTTTGAGTGGCAAAGTACAAACCTAACCTCGTGGACCCTTCCAAACGAAGGATCTGGATCCGAACGTAGGACTTTGAAAAATTTCCGAGAAGAAGGAGTTGCCATCGGGTTCGAGCGCCCGAGTCCCGGGAGGCGTGCGGAGGCGCGTCTTCGAAATCGGTGTTGTCTTCTCTTCCCCCGAGTATGAGACTTTGAAAAAATTCAAAGTACAAACCTAACCTCGGGGACCCTTCCAAACATAGGATCTGGATCCGAACAGAGGATCTGAACACGGGACTTTGAAAAAAATTCAAAAGTCTCAGACTCGGAGACGGGGGGAAAAATCACCGATTTCGAAGCCGCGCCTCCACGCGCCTCCCGGGACTCGGGCGCTCTCAACTCAATTGCAATTCCTCCTCTCGGAAAATTTTCAAAGTACAAACCTAACCAAGGGACCCTTCCAAACAAAGGATCTGGATCCAAACAAAGGATTTAAAAAAAACGGTAGAGTGGTTCCGGCCGCCCCTGTAAGCCCTCCGTTAGGAGAACCCAGTGGACGAACCGGCCGATCGAGGGACGAGTTTCAGTGGATCGCAGTAAGGTGGCTGCTCTTGCACTTACGACACCCCGACCAGTAGGTGAGTCGTCTAGGGACGATTCGGCACCACCGCATCACACCTCCTTCGAACCGGGAGGCTCAGGTCAAAGAGCACAGGGGAGACACAGTCGGGTCGACCCCAGAAACTGCTCAGATTACGGAAAAGGCTTCTTCGGCCTCCCCTCCGCGAACGCGGGAGGATGCCTAAGTCTGCCAAGCGACGGCTGGCGGCACACGCTATCTCTGCCACCGGTTAGGCGGACTTCCGGCTTAGAGGCGTTCAGCCGTTAACCCGCGGACGGTAGCCTAGCACCGTTTGCCTTCCGGCCAGGCGCACATACCAAATTTCCGAACCTGCGGTTCCTCTCGTACTCAGCTCGATTGCTATCGCAAAAACCATCCATCAGAAGGGTAAAACTAATCTATCTCACGACGGTCTAAACCAAGCTCACATTCCCTGTTAGTGGGTGAACAATTCAACGCTTTGCGAATTCTGCTTCGCAATGATAGGAAGAGCCGACATCAAAAGATCAAAAAGCGACGTCGCTATGAACGCTTGACCACCACAAGTCAGTTATCCCTGTAGTAACTTTTCTGACACCTCTCGCTTAAAACTCGTAAACTTGAAAGGATGGTTAGGCCCCGCTTTCGCGGTCCGTACTCGTACTGAAAGTCAGGATCAAGCCAGCTTTTGCCTTACGCGAGGTTTCTGTCCCCGCTGTCCCTTTCAGTTTACACTTCACCACCAGGAGTCCGTATTTATTGCATTGAAAACACCTTTGTGGCGGATGGTGAGGCCTGACTCTGTGGGATTGGAATCCGTGGAAGAGTCTTCCTTTCTCTAGGATGGCCTTATGAATGGCCGGTTCTGCGTCCACAACCCAATGGACCGAACCGTCCTTGAGGCTCTTCCTCCCTGCTACCGTCAGGGAGATCATTAGAACGGCGAAGTTTATCTAAAAACCTCGCCTGCCTCTCCGGGTTCTCAGTTCCCGGTGCGTCGTAAAGGAAGATTCTAGGTAGATCTTCCTTTTCTCTGATGCCTCGCAGATGTCCCTGAGGATGGCGTTGGTGTTGACTGCGGTGATTAGCCGCTTCGCCATATCTGCGCTTGGCACTTCAACCACGACGCCCCGTTTTTCTATGGGGCGAGATAGGAGAACTTTAACTCCTATCCCTTCCATCTTTATGGTTCGACGCAAAGTTTTTAAAAGCCGCTCCGCAGAGTCGTTCTCATCTTTTGGGACGATCCAGACCGTCTACTTCATCGGGGCTTTCGGTGCTTTGATTTTGTCATGCCCCTTAACCTGCTTTGGGGGTGGCTTCTTTGCCGCCATTGCAGCGTATGACTTTTCAGAGCTGGCTGTCGGTTGAGAAGCCGACTTTATGCCTTTTTTCCTGTTCTCGCGAACAGGAACAACCTATTTTCTGTTCTCATGAACAGAGACAACTTCTGTCTGACTGCTGATGGATGCAGTCTCAGTAGCACGGGATCTGTCTTCTTTGACAGTCTCAACATCTGTTTGAGTTCCTTGTTCGGACTTTTCAGTCCTCACTGGAACTCTGGCCTTCAGTTGTTGGAGTTCGCACTCCGATTGCCAGAGGATCCCGGCCGCCTCTAGCAACAACTGTTTTATCTTGACCTTTTGCCCGTCTTTCAGTTCTAAGCCGTCTAAAACCTTGTCCACACGGAACATGGCGGCTATATACTTACTTGGGCTGTTTTGAAGGATTAACTTCCTCGACTTATTTCTCCTTCTCGACTTTCTTAGCTCAGCTTTTCTGGCGCTGAGCCTCAAAAAACTAGCCTTCCCCTGAATAGGGGAAGGTGTGCTAGTCCCCAGGATAGCTGGGCTCGAGTGTACTGAGGTAACCTGCCTCGAGGGCAGAGCATCCTCATCGCTCTCTTTGGCGTTAAAGAAATCTTTGAGCGCATAATCTGATATTCTTATATTTGTCGCCATGATCGAGTATATAGAAAGGATTTGGCCATTTTTGATTGGTCCAGTAATGTAATAGCCAACTCACCCTGTGCCTCCGAAGCACCTCCCGAAGTTACGGATCGAATTTGCCGACTTCCTTTACCTAAATTGTTCTAGTGACTAGAGGCTGTTCACCTTGGAGACCTGATGCGGATATAGGTACGGCCCGGCACGAAAATCATAGACTCTCCCTCGGATTTGCATAGGCCCGTAAAGGGGTCCCAGGCACAACTCGTGAAACGAGGTGCTCTTTCGAGGCCGCCTGTCCCTATCTCGGCATGACACCTTTCCAGGGACTTCGCACCTCTTACGAAGAAAAGAATATATCTCTTCCCTGGTGCCTCCACGGGCGTCTCCGAGTTCGTTTGCGTTACCGCACCAGAGACCGAGGTCTCATTTATTTTTTGTCCGGGTATCTTAACCCGATAACCTTTCGTCCATAGCGCGACTCTCTAAAGTCTCGCCTAGCACGGATCTCTCCGTTGGCTAAGGACCGACTCACCCATGTGCAAACGCTGTTGACATGGAACCCTTCTCCAACTTCAGTCCTCAAGGTTCTCACTTGAGTATTTGCTACTACCACCAAGATCTGCACCGGCGGAGGCTCCAAGCAGGCTCGCGCCACGCCCTTCCACGCCACCGCCGCGACCCTCCTACTCGGTTCTCTTACTAAATATAAATAATTAAAGAACCGGCCGGGTATGGGCTGGACGCTGGAACGCCATCCATTTTCAGGGCTAGTTGCTTTGTCAGGTGAGTTGTTACACACTCCTTAGCGGATGCCGACTTCCATGGCCACCGTCCTGCTGTCTAGAGCAACCAACACCTTTTATGGGGTCTCATGAGCGTCTCTGCATCGGGCGCCTTAACCCGGCGTTTGGTTCATCCCACAGCGCCAGTTCTGCTTACCAAAAGTGGCCCACTAGGCACTCTCATCCACCGTCCAACCTTCGATCGAGAACTCTACGACCATTGAAAGTATGAGAATAGGTTGAGGTCGTTTCGGCCCCAAGGCCTCTAATCATTCGATTTACCGATCGTGACTGAATTTCGATCGAGCGCCAGCTATCCTCAGGGAAACTTCGGAGGGAACCAGCTACTAGATGGTTCGATTAGTCTTTCGCCCCTATACGCGGATCAGACGATCGATTTGCACGTCAGAACCGCTTCGGACTTCCAACAGGGTTCGTCCCGTCTAGGCATAGTTCACCATCTTTCGGGTCCCAACGTGTGTGCTCAGGCTCCACCTCGACTCCTAGGAGTGTGGTAGGCCGTCGGTGCGCCCCTCGCACGAAAGCGGGGGATCCCGACTACGAAGAAAGAATCAATTTGTTTGCGCCCGTGGGCTTCATCGAGACCCAGTGACTCGCACACATGTTAGACTCCTTGGTCCGTGTTTTAAGACGGGTCGGGTGGGGCACCGACCAACTGCGTCGCAACACCGTCGGCCACCAAAGGGAAAAAATAAAAGCGGCGCCGGCGAGGAGGGCCACCGGCCACGCCCGGAGAGCGTGCGCACGGCTACCCGAGAACCCACCGGCACCGCCAAGAGTACATAATAGGAGGCGACGAGTCGGAAGCCACCGTCCGCTGCGGACCCGGGCGGAAGAGATCGGAACAATCAAAAAAGTTCGGAGTCCACATAAGAGTATCCGCCCTCACAGCCCACTAAGACGAACGGGGTGCGGCGTCCTCTGGAGGGGACGAGTGCACCCGGGCCGAACCGCCTCCTGGGCGCGAGGACGGCACCCCCACGTGAGGGGCGCTCCTTCACTCGCTTCGGCGGAAGCAGAAGACACCGGGCCTGAACGCCCCCGACACTGGACTTCGAGGGCCCACCCGTTTCCCTCTGAGCAGTTTCACGTTCTATTGAACTCTCTCTTCAAAGTTCTTTTCAACTTTCCCTCACGGTACTTGTTTGCTATCGGTCGTATTTAGCCTTGGGTGGAGTTTACCACCCGTCTTAGGGCTGCACTCCCAAGCAACCCAACTCGCGGGCGAACCGAGAGGGAACCACGGCGCGCTAGAACGGGCCTCACACTCTCTCAGGAAAATGCCCCGATCGTGGGGACTTCCCGCGCACTCTAGATCCACACTCCCGACTCGCCCAAACGCCACATTTCCCTGCTCGAGGCAAGGATTCGGCGCTGGGGTCCTCCCTGTTCGCTCGCCGCTACTAGGGGAATCACTGTTGTTTTCTTTTCCTCCGCTTATTAATATGCTTAAATTTAGCGGGTAGTCTCGTCTATCTGAGGTCGTTTCAAGAATTTTATAAGTCTTTAAGGTACCTCCTCCCGATTCTTAGGGAACGCCTCAAGCGAGCAGCCGGACGAACCGGAGAGTGGCCCTGCGGGGGAAAGGCTCCCCCGGACACTCGAGACTGCTCCCACGGCTCGGGAGAATTCCTTTCGCACTTGAGCCGACGGGTTCGCACCCGACGCGGCCAATTGACTCTTAGAGTCTGGGCTTCATACGACCCTCAAACAGGCGAGGCCTCCAGTCCCGGAAGACCGGAGGCCGCTATGCGCGTTCGAAAGTTCGGTGTTCAATGTGTCCTGCAATTCACACCAATTATCGCAGCAAGCTGCGTTCTTCATCGACCCGTGAGCCGAGTGATCCACTGCTCAGAGTTGTCATAGTAATTTTGTTATAGTCGGTGGGGATAGGGACAGAGAATATTGGGGCGTGGTGCACTCTACGGTGCAGCTCTCGCACCTAGCCCGAGCCCCCGAAGGAGCTCAGACCCCCTTAGGCCTCAAAGGTCCGGGAAGCAGGTACGCCCTCTTCGAGACTTGGCGACGACCATATTCCACATATTAGACTCAGGAACTTGTAAAAATTCCGTAAAAAAAAATTCTCGAGCCACCCGAACGAGAAAGAGGCTCCGATCCAGAACGACATCCACCCACGGAGGAGGCGTCAACCCGGACACGTCACACAAACGAGACGCCTTCCTCGGAGGCAAGAACCCCTTACGGCAGAGCACCCGCCGAGGAAGAGACGACGGCGCAGAGTCCGGAACGCCACGCACCGAATCCAGACACCCAGAATCCAGAAAGCACTCTGGCAACGGATGACCCCCATGCCCCCGCACGGGATATCCGACACCTCGCACGCCCGAACCCGGACCTCCAGAACCCGGACACGCAGGCCCCTCGCCCCACACGGCCATAACTCCCCGACCTCCTCTCCGCCGGTCCAGAGCATCACCACCGCACCCGGCTGTCCCGCCCGAAGGCTCCGTCTCCACTCATCCGGTCGATCCAAAAAAATACCTCCTACTATTTCATAATCCGTGCGTCGTCGCTTCTCGTCTCCTCCAACCGCCCAGGCTACTCTTTTGAACTCTCTCGTCACTCTCTGGGGTCGGAGGCATCGTTTACCAAGACCTTTACCTCGAGTCGGCCACGGCGCACCCGGGCAGGAAGACGAAAGAGAGGCAGAATCCACAACTTGGACGAACCGGACCAGCCAAGCATCGGACGACCCCCTGTCCCCGCATGAGATCACCAACGCCTCGCCGATCCGGAGTCCGCACCTTGGCTTTTTTTTTCTTAAAAATTCCTTTCTGCCTCTCCAAAAGCCAAACCCGCACCATGGAGATCGGCCGCCGCATACCTCCTCTACGAAAGAAATCTCAGGTCTCCGAGTCACGGGCTCCCGAAGGAGCCACCCCTTCCCGAGTCTCTCATTTTTGCATCACCATTCGGTATTTTTGCATCACCATTCGGTCGTCGCTTCGTCTGGGGCGGAGCAGCCAACATCTCCGCCACACGGAGCAAACTCCGTTCAAAACAGGGCCTTTCCGAGCACACCCTCGACCGGAGTCTGGGAGAAGCTCGACGGGGCAGACCCCAAGCCCCCGGTATGTGACAAGCATATTATTTTTCAAGCAATGATCCTTCCGCAGGTTCACCTACGGAAACTTTATTACGACTTGTAATTCCTCTAAGTGATCGAGTTCGATCATCTTTCCGACACCCCTTTTCCGTGAAGGAACGGAGGCGCAGGTCCGAAGACCTCACCGAACCACTCAATCGGTATTAACGACGGGAAGTGTGTACAAAGAGCAGGGACTTAGTCGGCACGAGTTAATGACTCGAGCCTACTGGGGATTCCTCGTTCAAGGGGCCAGTTACAGTCCCCTATCCCCAGCACGAAGGCGTTTCATCGGGTTTCCCGGACTCTCGGCCAGGGAAAAAAAACACACGCCTTCATTGTATTGCGCGTGCGGCCCCGGACATCTAAGGGCATCACTGACCTGTTTTTGCTCTTTTTCGTGCGGCTCGAAACCGCTTGTTCCTAAAAGATTATCTCTCCGTGAAACATCACGGAACAGCCTATTTAGCAGGCAAGAGTCTCGCTCGTTATTGGAATTAACCAGACAGGTCATGCCCACGAACTAAAAACGACCATGCACCACCACCCACGGAATCAAGAAAGAGCCATTAATCTGTCAATCCTCGCCGTGTCCGGACCGGGTGAGTTTTCCGTGTTGAGTCAAATTGAGCCGCAGAAACCATCCCTGGTTGTGCTCTTTCGTCAATTCCTTTAAGTTTCAGTTTTGCAACCATACTTCCCCCGGAACCCAGAAGCTCTGGTTTCCCGGAAGCTGCCCGGCGTGTCCTTTCTCAAACAGCACCGGATCGCTGGCTGGCATAGTTTACGGTCAGAACTACGGCGGTATCTGATCGCCTTCGAACCTCTGACTTTGTTCTTGGTCAATGAAAACATTCTTGGCAAATGCTTTCGCAGTAGTTCGTCCTGCGACGGTCCAAGAATTTCACCTCTAGCGTCTCAGTACGAATGCCCCCGTCTGTTCCTATCGATCATTACCTCCGGTACCGAAAACAAACACAATAGAACCGAGGTCCTCTTGCATTATTCCATACATCCTTGTGCGGGCTACAGGCCTGCTTTAAGCACTTCAGTTTCTTCAAGGTAAACTGACCGGACCCCGCGCCACGACCGGTTAAGATCGCGGTTCGGAAAACGGCCAGAGCCCACAAGACCGGAAGGGGCGCTGACGCGCCCCACCGTCCCGGGCTGAGATCCGACTACGAGCTTTTCATCCGCAACAAATTTAGCTTACGCTATCGGAGCTGGAGTTACTGCAGCTGCTGACACCAGACTTGCCCTCCAATCGTTCCTTTCGAACACTCTTTACCTTGCGATCATTCCGATCACGGGGTCTCGAAAGAGTCCCGTAACGTTATTTTTCGTCACTACCTCCCCGAGCCGGGAGAGGGTAATTTGCGTGCCTGCTGCCTTCCTTGGATGTGGTAGCCGTTTCTAAGGCTTCCTCTCCGGAATCGAACCCTGATTCCCCGTCACCCGTGACGACCATGGTAGGCGCATGACCTACCATCGGATAAGTTGATAAGGCAGACACTCGAAAGACGCGTCGCCGGGACTAGACCGTGCGATCCGCCCTAGGTTATACAGAGTCACCAGTCGCTGCCGCGCGAACGCGGGCTGGTCTTGGTCTAATAAAAGCGCTCGTCTCCCTCGCGGTTCGGAGCTCCAGTGCATGTATTAGCTCTAGGATTACCACAGTTATCCAAGTAATCTCAACCGCCTAGGGGACCGTAACTGATTTAATGAGCCATTTGCGGTTTCGCTTTATTTTACAGCTTGTACTTACACGTGCATGGCTTAATCTTTGAGACAAGCATATCACTACTGGCAGGATCAACCAGTTATCTTCTTTCCTTACATTCCGAGGCGAGGCCTCAGTTCTATTTACCGGGCGGAATTTTTCCAGAGGTACCGCTTCCCTCTCCTGCATTGTTCCGTGTTTCATCACTCGCTACCGAGTTTCCGCAGTACGAGACGCAGCGCGTCCCCCGAGGGGGACGTCTCAGAGCTTGCATAGATAGGGACATAATTCGAGAGACCAACCCCCCGCTCCGCACATAGTGCACTACGGGTTTGGAGTAGGAAGGTTCTCGTGTATAAACTTATGGTCTCGCTCTGCCACAGCAAGAGTCGCATGTGCGCCTACGGGAGCATCCAAAGACACTCCCAAAGCACATTGATGCCGGGCTGGTCTTTTTACCGGGCTAGGAACCGGCTGCCCACGGTGAGGTGTAGCAGGCTCTGGGCTACTTAATGGTAATGTCCTATCTAATGCTCCGGCACCTAGACATCTTTGCAGTCTCTAACGCCAGGGGCGGGTGCCGGGGTACTTGGGTTCTTTAGAGACAAATGATGAGAAAACCTCATCGCGAACCCTTTCCCTTAGATATAGTGGACTCACCTGAAATGGTTTCGTGTTAGCTGTATGGCCTTCACTCAACCTCGTTTACCTTTGAGGAGATTGTCTCGTTGTCTCAGGTACCTAGACTTCTTTGCAGTCTTTTACACCGTAGCGGGTACCTTTGACTGTGATACTTGGAACCCGATGCCCATTTCACAGCCCTCAGCATCTTAATGGGTCCTTTCTCACCGAGGACTCACTCCTGTCATAAAATTGTCGCACCGAAGTGCGATCTAAACTAAAGAGATTGTCGCACCGAGGTGCGATCTTTACTGATTAGAGTTGGCCGTGGTCAACTCATCCACAAACTTCATTAAAGAACGAAGTATTCTAAGATTTTTGGGCTTAAGCAACGAGGCTAACCCATGCTCTGTGTCCAGCTGAGAGTACAACCTCCTGGTTCGAGGACAACTTGTGAGGTAGTGGAGAGCTTGCATAGAGATGGCGGTCCGAGACACACCCCTTCTGAGCGACTCTAAACATCGACACGCACGGCGCGTCCGACCGCGACCCGAGGATCGCGGCGGCGGCCGCAAGGGCAGAGACAGGTTGGAAGGAGCCCCCGCGAACGGGGACACCGATGCGAGCGCACCGTCCGTGCACGGGTTCGTTTCACGGCAAAGCCGACCCGCGGGACAGGAAAGAGCCCCACGAACGGGGACTCCGACGCGGGTTCGGATCGTCAGCACGAACCCCGATCCTACCGCAGACGCTTGGGAAACACCCGCGTCTTCGTTTGAGCCAATCCTTCCTTCCTCCGGTCCGGACGGACCCCGCGGGACCCCGGCTTCTCCCGCTGACTCTCGGCGGCTTCGGATCGTCCGCACGAACCCCGATCCTGCCGCAGACGCTTAGGAAACAGCCGCGTCTTCGTTTGAGCCAACAAATCCTTCCTCCGGTCCTAACGGACCCCGCGGGCCGCCGGGGGACCCCGGCTTCTCCGCACCACTCCGGATCTACCCACGTCTCCGCAGGAGCCGATCCTTCCATCCGTTTCCACGCCACACGCTCCCCCGTGTTCACGAGAGCGCCGGCGATCCTCCGCCTCCCATGGGTCGTCTGGGCCCGACCCACGCCCGACACCCCCCCCCTTGGATGGGGAGCGCCCGAGGCCATCGTCCGAGAGCCCCTTCGGACGACCGAGTGGTCTTGGGAGCGACCCGGAGACGAATCTCCGCGTGCAGCAAAAGCGCGTCGAAATCGTTCAAAAATGCCAAAATAAAATAACCCTCGAAGGGGTTCAGAGCGATCCCACTCACGACGCACATCCTCAACTCCGATCTGGATCACAAAACACAGAATCGCGTTCTGGACCACTCGAGACAGAGGTGCTCCCTATATAGGGAAATGGAGTTGCGAAAGAGGACCGACAAACCCT